TGAGCAGGGGACGTCTAGTAAAAATAACCCAATTTCTGAAAATAACTACTGGAGGGTGAGTTCAGCGCCAAAGGATAGGTAATCCTCAAGGGTTTTTAATGTGATAAATAAAATAACACGAGAGGCAGGCTAGCGGAGATTATTTGAGGATATTACCCATGATTGCGCACTGGTCTATTAGCAGGGGGGGTGAACCCGTGAACACTTACACAATTTTAGAGGGGTACACCAGCAGAAATATTTGTAAAAGACTGACTGTAGGAATTTTGTAATTTCAGATGCCGTCTAACTCTCAAAAAGTAAAGGAACTCAGCACCCGGGAAATCCCCACCTCATCCCCGCTATGTCAACCCAGACATCAACTGGGGAATCCTCTGGGGAACACCCTCCCTCCCGGCAGTTCCAGCCGTTCCGTCAAAACCCAAATGCCATTTCCGGAGCTAGTGGTTATGAAGGGGAAGTCGAGATATACTATAGAAGACGAAAAGCCTTGAAAAATTCGTCACGGTCGCCTTAAAATTGGTGAAATGCTGGAAATAAGCAACTGTAAATCAAGATTTCGAACGGCCAAGTGAGAGAGAGAGAGAGAAAGAGATAGAGAGAGAAAGAGAGAGAGAGAGAAAGAGAGAGAGAGAGAGAGAGAGAGAGAGAGAGAGACCAAGAGAGCGAGAGACGGCTTACAGTTATCACAAAAGTCGATCCATTCAAAAAATCTAACACGACCGTCTTGCATGCTGAGCGGCTTCCTTGACAAACTTCGAAAAAATCCAGGAACAAAAGATAAAAAATAAAACATTAAAGCTAACAATACCTTGAAAACAAAAAAAGTAGGAAACTAGAAAACGAAAACAAACTGTTAATGCAATTTAAAATCACACTATCAAAATGAGCACAAGCTCCTGCTGTCACATCCCCTTTAAAATCAGGACCGAATTTGGCCCGGATGGGCCCCTGGAAGAATGCGGGAATGTTTTGACAGTTGTGCCAGCCGGGGTGTGGGCCAAGCTGGTACCCAACGGGGAGAGGGTGTGGTTATGTCAGAGGCAATAATGGGTTGGGGGTGTCCGATGTGCCCGCAGGCTAAATAAGGGAAAGAGGGAAGGGGGGATGCTTTGAGAAGATGCAATTACCGGGTGACCATATGGCCCTCTTGATCCTCTCACTTACTCCTAGGGGTGGCATCTCTCTCTCGCTCTCTCTCGCTCTCTCTATCTCTCACACTTTCTTGGGGCTCAACCACAAACAAATCCCCTGCTGGTCCTGGAAATGGATGGGCGATGTCCAAATGAGATTGCGTACTCTCGCGGGTTGCCTTTGACTTTCTGGGATTAATTTTGGGAATTTGGACCTTGGGGTTCGATTCCTTTGCAGAAGCCTAACGTGAAGACGAAGGAGGGGCGAGAGAGCGAGAGAGAGGGAAAGAGAAAAGAAGGAAACATAGCAAGAATGAAGTTAAGAGTCAAACGTTCCTGGCCAATACCCCAGTTCGAGAGCAAGGGCCAGAAAAACTCGTAAAAATGGAAACAAATGGGATGCATGGGCCCTTTGGGAGAATAATGAAGTTGCGAAGAAGACGTAGAACTTCTAGGAATCGGGAGAGAGAGAACGAGAGAGACAGCGACAGAGAAGGAGAGAGAGTGCGAGACAGAGAGCCAGAGAGTGAGAGAGAGAAAGTCAGAAAGGCAGAAAGAGAGAGAGAGAGAGAGAGAGAGAGAGAGAGAGAAAGCGATATAGAGGGAAAGCTAAAGCGAGAGAGACAGAGTGCGAGAAAGGGAGCGTAAGTTAGAGCATGAGCTTTGCATAGATCTTGAAGCCTTGTTGCTTCTAAAACATGAATAACGAGAGCAGGAAATGAAAAGAAGCAGACATGTAAGACAAGAAATATACTAAACAAATTTGCATTCCAAATAGATGCTATTGCCATGATGGCCCTATACGCTATTCCAAATGCCCCGTACGGCCATCCGGGATTTCAATTTGTGCGCTCTGGGCGGCCAGCGGGGAGGACGAGATTCTTATTTCCCCCGAACCTCAAAGGGCACGGCCGGCTAGACGGTCAGTCACTGGCATAACCACTCGAATAGCAGCTAGGCATAGCACTGACCAATAAGAGTCACAGCCAGATGCAATATAACACGAATCTGGGTCTATGAAGGTGGAATTCGGGCACAATTCGTTTAATACCTACCCGCAAGGTCCGAATTTTGGAATTGAATTGCCTAAACTTTCAAACGGACGTGGAAGCCGCCTTGTTTTGAATTAAGGGGGATGACAAAAAGAACGAAAGCTTGCCACTAACTAAAACATCCGGATACCTAGAAAGAACACAGAAGGTAGCGAAGAGCGAAAGCAAAGATCGAACCTAGCAAGCTAGCAAGGATTTTTGACAATTTCTGAAGTATATTGTTGTAGTACCCTAACAATATTTTTGGCTTGTAATCCGCTTTAACAAGATATACAAAAGCGAAAAACAAGTTTATAATCTAAAAAAAAGTACGATTGGCTAAATACAGGTGCAACCTAGCATGGATTTCTGAGGAATGGTTCCATCTTGGTATTAGCACTGCAAATGCCTCACCAAGTGCCATATTTCTTTAATTACCGTAGCCCCTATGCAATGATACGATTCGAGAGCGAATGAATGCCATTTCGAGAGCGGCCATCCCCGCACGCAGCGCCTCTCGATTCCAGCTGCATATTTCTTGCGAATTCCGGCTTTTTTGCGGGTACCACCAGGGACACGTAGCCTCGGGGGGCACCACCCACCACACGAACACAACGGCCCCATTTCATGGCGCCACGCTGCGTGTCGTTCGGTGTTCGGAGTATTGCCCCGGAATCGGGGTGGGAATTATGATCTATGGGTGGCCGGGTGGGGTACCTAGTAGGGAAATTGAGGGTAATAGGTAGTAGGGACTTGTAATTTGGCATAGTACGTACTAGGTGTAAAAAGAGAAATCTGGACAAAAATATCGAATTCTGAAAAGTATAGAAAACGGTCCCTCCATCTCGATCTCTTTCGAAGGCCATACTCTCTCTCTCTCTCTCTCTCTCTCTCTCGCTCTCTCTCACTTTCGCTCCATCTCTTTCTCTCGCTCTATCACCGTCTCTCCCTCCATATCCTACTCTCCTTCTCTCTCTCTCTCTCTCTCTCTCTCTCTCTCTCTCTCTCTCTCTCTCTTTAACGCTCTCTTTCTTCCCAAACATTACATAACATAATATTGTAAAGGTATAGGCGACATAAAAGTTACTTTAAATTAAATAATAGTTAGATCTGGATAACAATACTATTTAGCCAAAAGCATTCGACTTCCCAACCCCTCTAAAAGCCGCATAGCAACTCCAGTCTCCCCCAAAAACGTGCAAACTCCAATCGACTACACTCGACACCTGTGTACAAGATCTAAGGTCGACGTAGCGGAGTTCAAGTGTAGTCGACGGGAGGCGTTCGGCTAAGCTTCTGATTTTTCGAGGGCGGGCAAACAGCTTTGCGGGAGTTACAGGATGAGGAGGAGAAGCCCGGGCGTGAAATCGGCAAAACAGAGCAATTTGTTAGGGCAAATAATGGGCGGTGGGGTGAACCGGGGGTGGGACCGCTGTTTTTTCGCGTTCACCTCATGGCACATCTTGAACCGATTTTATCGTGACTCGACAAAAACAAAGCGAAGCTACCTGACTTCATTAGTTTCGAATAGTTTTTAAAGCCTTTACACTCCTTTAGAAAACTTCAACACTATTTTCACGCAATTCCAGTCCTTAGCGGGCAGGCACGGATAGCTTTTAGGCTACGCAGGGCGCCCCTGCACAATGGAACAGTGCGCTTATTACATGTTTTTTGCGCCCCCAAAGCAAAATCTACAAACTTTTAGACAAAATCGTATTTTTCTCGAAAGTTTCATAGAAGTTTTTGAAAATGAATTAGATTTAAATAATCTGGACGCCAAGACGCAGCTTTTGAGACCTGAATGTCGAAAATCTATTCTGGTACTTTTTTTTGATCATCGTTTGAAGTTTCGTTCAGGAATATTGTGCGGTTTTCGATAACGCGGAAAAGAAGTATTTTCTGGGTAATCTGAGCTTTGTTTTGGAAGAATTAGGGTTGTTTACCCCCAGACCGGGGAAATTTGTGCTAAAAACGCTTAGGAATGGCTATTTGGCACAAAATTCGGAATGGTAGCGGCTCAAGGACTTGCAACAATTTCAGTTTATCGCTTCATTACTAATTTTCTGTACAAATCTTCCTTATCCGATGAAATACAAAAGCCTTTCCCTGCTTTGGACGAAAAAGCAAAAAAAAATTGTGACGGCGGGATTCGAACTCGGGTCGTGTGCGTGGGACCGTGGCATCGGCGCTACCCGGTTGCGCTACGCCCCCAGAGGGGCCTATCCGTGCCTCTGTGGAATGCCGTGTTTTCCTTACAGGTTTTGAGATATCCGCTTCATCTAGACAAATTTTTTATTTTCCAACATTTAAAGCTGGTAAAAGAAAGCCCAAAAATTTGTGCTATGAATATTTTAGTAGACTCGGCTTTTAAGGGACCTGCAAGGCAAAATTCGTGGATTTCAGGGGCTTAATTCAGACGTTAATAGCATGTTTTTAGCTTTATGGTCTCTTTAAAAGCAATTGAAATTAAGGAAAAAAGTGTGATCCTATCAACTTTTACACACCATTAATTTATTCCCAAAAAACCACACCAAAAACCACGGGAGTCGTCAAATTCACATTGCTTCGTGTGACCAAAATTAATGAAAAACACAAAAAATAGGAATTGTATAAAAATACAGTAACAATCGTTGGAATGTGTAGCAAAAAGGAAAACACCACTGGATTTTTAAATATGTACACAACTTTATAAAAATCGACTACAAGCGCCGCTATCCATTTCTAACAACAAAAAAGGGAAGCAGGAAGGTGATCAACGATTTCTGAACGGGATTTGAGATCCAGAAATTTTCATAAAATGCCGCAAACGAGACAGAGCAATGAATTTTGTTGTTTATGGCTGAACGAAGGTCATCAACTGGAGCCGCGGCGTCACCATCGGGGACAGGTTGGTAGAACGGCAAGCTGCGCCGAGACGGTCTGCCAAGAAGGAGGAAAGCAGCATCCAGGCCTGAAAGGGTTGAGCTTGATCTCCATTGCTACCTCTCTCTCTCTCTCTCTCTCTCTCTCTCTCGCTCTCTCTTTCTCCTTCTCTCGCTCTCCCTCGCTCACTCGCTGCCATTTTAGCTTTCTTCGCTCTCCGATCTGTCTAGGGGGCCGCTGTGATCCTCATATAACTGCCGGACGACCCGAACAAGTCACACAGCTGGTCACGTTGCAATCGAATTCCTACCTTAACAGTCTCCTTGTGCTGCCTCCCCGGGCCGATGTAGATGGACACCGTGGCGAGGACGGACTCGCCGAACGAGTCCCAGTGTTTTGACCTAAAAAGCAGATTTTGGCTTGGGAACCGGCGACGCCATTAAGTACAAAAGTCTGTTGATTCAACTCACTTTATCCTAAATCCAACGTGTCCCCTTCCGAGAACGGTCAACCACGGCTTCAGCGCTTCTTCCAAATCTGCCAAATTGTCGACGGCCGATTGGATCAAGTCGACGAAATGTCGTGCGTGACGTTCGTAGGACTGAAATGTAGTTGTAAGAAGATTTTTACAGCGCAAGCGAGTTCCTTGGTCTAGATTTCTCCCTCTCCCTCGCTCTGTCTCCTTCGCTCGCTCTCTCGCTCCGTCGCTCTCTCGCTTACCGTTGGATCAGGTCCAAACGATTCCCTTCCAATCCGGTTGGCCAAGTCCTGGATCAACGTTTCGCCAAACTGATTTTTCGGCACGCGCTGCCAAGTTTTTCTAAAATTTAGCTTGATTATGGGGATGTAATTTGTATCAAATCGTAAAACAGCGTATTGTGGCATATAAATCGCGTAACTACAGCCCCCAACCCACTTTATCAGAACTCCATGATCTGCCGTGATGTGGACGGACCGGTGGACGGCTGGTGAGGCTGATCGGGCGGATCTGAAAGAGGTACGCTAGGATACGCCTAGATACGATAGAAGCTGCGATAACATGCCACGGTATGAAAATCGTAGTTTTTTCTGGCTTACCTTGTCCTTCGCAGCGGCTTCACACTCAACTGATCCATGAAACCCGTGTGCTGGACGACTGGCGATGGGGAGCGACACTAGAACAATTATGATATTTTCAAGATTTTGAAAATAGACGAATTTTTGGAAAGTTTTTGCAGTAATTAAAATGAGTTAAATAAAAGCCCATAAAAAATGTAGATGGTGATTCCCAATTTACAAAAAAAGCATTTTCTTAGAGAATAAGAATAAGCTTAGGAACGAGCTTTTGGCTTATCCTAGCGTTTAGCGTGCCTAAAATGACGGTGATCCATATATGTGCTCTTGTCTGTTTTCTGCTACTCCCCACCCAAAACCAAACACCGCTCATTATCTGCACCGGGGTCAACTGGCTAGCCAGAACATGTAAGAGGGTTGTCAGTGGGTTACCCTAAGCCACGGGGAAAATTGGTGCCCCCGGACTCGATGCAAGATCTTTGCTCGTTTTGCATGCATCTAGGGAAAGTTGTTACTCCGAGCTTTGGAAGTTTAGAAGCAGTATTATATCGAGCTTATGAGAGAGTATTGCCCTAGGCAAGCTAGCAGGGAATTTTAGGGATCTGTTAGTTTCTGAACTAATTTTAAGCAAAAGTTCTCGAGCTTACACTTTTCGATCTGCCTGAAACAGCGAAAAAATAGATCAGAACAACCTTTTCAAATTACTAAAGGCTTTTGCAGATAAATAATATCAAAACTAGAAAATAGTCAAAACCATTCAACACCGAATTCTTATAACAATTTTCACCAGGTGCGGGGGGGTTCTTAGAAACCCTTCGAAGGGCTTTTCCTCCTAATCAAACCAAGAATGGGCTCCATTCTTGGCATCCCCTAGGCGATTCCCCCAAATGATGCATCATCTAGGCAAATTCACGATTTCCCGATTCAAAGCCCGCAAAATCGGATTCGGAAATCCGAACTGTGATTCAGCGAATTAGGGCTTTGAATCAGGATGCCAAGATCGTTAAATTTGGAAAAATAATGTAAAATGCTTTTTATAATATGAATAACCGCTTGTCGAAGCCTTTTAAAAGAAGCCGAAGGCCAAATCGCTTAAAAGGCCATCCGCGAGCCACCCGAACAGACCCCAATATGCCTTGGCACAGTTTTTTTCGACCCTGTTTTTTTGACGGCATCGGAAAGAGCATAGTCAAATTAGTAGGGCTGCATAGTTTTGAAAGTTTAAAAAGTTAAGTTTTAGGGTTAAAATTGGAGTCAAAGTTGCCGACTCTCAAAAATTATCTCGAAAGTTACTGAACCAAATTGGTCGAAAATTTGTCACAGTACCTAATTTTGGATGCTGATCATTTCTCTAATACATCGAAAAGCACGAAAATGAGCGGAACATGGTTAAATCGCGTACCCAAAACAGTTTTTCAAGGTTTTGTATTTTACGGGTTTTTGGCGGTCCGTTGTAAATAACCTTAAAAGATGCGCAAAAAAATTCTACATCAAATGAGGTATTTTATACCGGGCCGACAGAAACCCTACTCTTGCTATAAAGCATTTACTGCGCGCAAAACAGCCCCCAAAATGGGTCAAAAACCTCAAAAATGACCAATTTTGAATTCGAATATATCAAAACATATCTAGAGAACGAGCGGAGTCGATTGCAAAAAAAGAGCAAAAAGAAATTCGGCTTCTGAATATAGGCGGAGATCCGGGGAGGAATCGAACCCGGACCCTTCGCCTGGAAGCCCTCCCTGGGGCCGTGGTGGATTGCATGAGTGCTCGCCTACCAATCCAAGGGCCGCGCCAGTTCGATCTCCGCGCCCCTTGAAAAGCAATATTTCTTTTGCTCTTTTTTGCAATCGACTCCGCTCGTTCTCTAGATATGTTTTGATATATTCGAATTCAAAATTGGTCATTTTTGAGGTTTTTGACCCATTTTGGGGGCTGTTTTGCGCGCAGTAAATGCTTTATAGCAAGAGTAGGGTTTCTGTCGGCCCGGTATAAAATACCTCATTTGATGTAGAATTTTTTTGCGCATCTTTTTAAGGTTATTTACAACGGACCGCCAAAAACCCGTAAAATACAAAACCTTGAAAAACTGTTTTGGGTACGCGATTTAACCATGTTCCGCTCATTTTCGTGCTTTTCGATGTATTAGAGAAATGATTAGCATCCAAAATTAAGTACTGTGACAAATTTTCGACCAATTTGGTTCAGTAACTTTCGAGATAATTTTTGAGAGTCGGCAACTTTGACTCCAATTTTAACCCTAAAACTTAACTTTTTAAACTTTCAAAACTATGCAGCCCTACTAATTTGACTATGCTCTTTCCGATGCCGTCAAAAAAACAGGGTCGAAAAAAAACTGTGCCAAGCATTGTTCGGTCCACTCGCAAACGGCCTTTTAAGACAGTCGACATCAAATCGCATATTTTCAAGCAATATGTTATTTTTTAGATATAGGAGGGCTTTGATTATTTTCTAACGTTCCAATTTGTCTCCCAGATAGCTGAAAAGCTGGCTAAAGCCCCCAGCCACGTTCAGGAAACTTGAATCATTTTCCGGCCCATTGAATCTCCATGTCCTGGCCGGGGGAGGCACTTTTCGACAACGATTTTTGAGACGCGTATATTTTTGGCTTTTCGTCTTGGTTTAGAAAACCGGAATTTGTCCATTTTTGGTTAAAAAAATCAGGCTAAATGGAGATGGTGTAAAAATGATGGTGATGGAAAAGCAGGTTGAGAACATAGATTTTAAAGCGCATCATCCGGACGTAAAAATGGTAAAATTTGATAGAACCTAAGCTAGTACGTTGCAAACGTTGGCGGTTAGTTCTTATGAAACATCAACGAACGTAAAACCGTTTTAGCATAACTTTCAAGTTTTTAAAGCCGAAAATCTCACAAAATAATAAAGCCGAAATGCGCATGCCCCCAAACTCCAAACCCCGAGGCGCATGTTTTCGGATTTTGGGATTGGGGCCAAGGATTACCATGTGACCCAAAAAGGTCAGCCGCGTCAATTTGTACCCAGGGGGCACTTGCTAAAGGCCGGATGATTTTGAAAGCGTAAGCCGGTCTGAGCGCAATTTCGCCAAAAATCTTAATTTACAGGCGGAAGTCATACTAAAGATAAACGGCCACGTTTCAAACGTTGCTCGTCACGAAAGCAATAATTTTTAGGCTAGAAAATTCAGAAAACTCGAGTCTGTGTCCAAAAATTTGGGTAAAAAATGGGCGGAATAGACCGAATGGTTGGCCCCTAGGGGTAAATACAGAAACCATAGAGCAAGGATCAGTAGCTGGCCGGTCACTGATACCTAGCGGCTCCAAAAAAACATGGGCAGAGGTCAGGCAGCAAAACGGGTTTTTTAGATAATTTTCCAGAGATCTGGGTCTAATACGTAACTTGAATTAATTACAAAATTAAGAATAGCCAGTAATATAAAAGTGGAGTGGCAAAAAGAGGCAAACATTTATACCATTAATGCGCCTACGATATACGATACGATAAAATATATTGATTTTCCCAAAAGATACTGTTGCCGTATGTAAATTTACTAAAACTTATGTAGCTTCTAGGATTCTAAACCACGCTCCTCGACTACCGTAACCCACCCTCCGAATCGGTTCCGGCGTCAACTGCATCGTCGTGTCGTTTTTGAAACCACCGCCGCTGCCGTTTTGATGGGGCAAATCCAATTTCGGTTTCAGCGGCTGCGCCTTTATGGGACTCATTCCACGATGCAGGGGGAAACGACAGAAACGATATGCAATATTTGTAGCCTCTCGGAATATGCTATTTCTTTAGGAATTCAAGAAATATGTGCTCAAGAATCACGTGCTGTCCGCAGAATTCGAAGCAACAAAATTCGGGGAATCGTAGCTTTAGAAGGCAATCTCCTGGCGCCGTTCGGAATTAATGAAGGCGTACGATTTTATAGCAAAATGGAAAATTGAGAAACCACAGCGGGAATTAGATGTCGTAATGCGTTCCAGGATGGTCAGGGGGGCGTGGGATCAAAATGTCAGTATTTGACGGGCGGAGATTGCCGCTATTCTGCAGCGTTTCGGAGCTGTCAAACTCGAGGAAGCTTCGAGGTAGGTGGGTTGAAAATAAGGTTTTGTCGTCAGCAACTTCAGAATTCGAGCGACGAGGTGCTAAGCTTCGTAAAATCGTATTCCAGCGGTTCTTAACGTCCAGAAAACTTCCAGCTTTAGAATCCCGACGTCGAATAGCCTCAGAAGGCACGAATTTCCGGATTTCGGGAAGTGTTAGCGATTTTGGGCTCCTAGGAGACGTCTAACTTCAGAATAGTGACTTCAACTTGCTTCAAAAGACGCCCGGATTTTAGGATTTCAATAGGTTTTATCGCCTCTGAACTTCTAAATACCTGCTGCTTCAGAATATCGACGACAGATAGCTCTAAATGAGGTCCAACCCCCGATTTTGTAATTAAGACGTACAGATCCAGAATATCGACGTCAAACGCCCAAGCCGGCACCAGAAGGCGTCCAAATCCCCCGCGATCTCGAGTCCAGAATCTCAGTCTCGGGCGGTCTAGTCGATGTGGTGGTAGCCTTCCGAGGGGGATATTGCCAGTCGGGTCGGAGAAGAGGCGGGGCGGAGTATGTTTGTATGTGTAGAAGATATTCGTGTGTGTATGTGTGTATGTCTCTTCCTACACGCCCTCTTTTTTCCGTGCAGCTTTTCCTCTTCTTTTTGTTCCCCTCCTAGGCTGTCCTATGAATTTCAAAGGGGGCTGGCCAGGATGGGGGATCCTCTTTTGGCTGGGCCCTGATTATCTCGGGGCCGCCGTGGTCATCCCTCTCTACCCTTTCTGCCCCTAAAAAGGCCATTTTCGAGGCATTTTTGTGTATTTTTAGGTGGGGGTAAGCGGATGTACTAGAGCAGCAAAAAGTCTGAGCTCTAGATTTTCGGAGGGAAAAGATCGTCAGTCTACCTCGCTACTATCGCACTACCCCGCAAACTAAGTTTGTAGCCGGCCTTTCCGGTCTGTAGCTTGTACTGTGGCGTACTTGTTATCGCAAATTATCATTATCATTATCACAATCATTAGTGCGCCGGCAATCCTTAAAAGTTGTCGTCATCTTCTATAGCTTGTATCCGGATTTTTCAGGAATTTTATAGCTTGCCCTGAAGCTTACAGGCCATCACCAGAGCGTGAAAAAGCATGGTCTAGACGGCGGCTGGCGTCTCGAGGCAAGCTATCAGAGGGCCTGTGCAACCGCCTCCGTTCAATGCCGATTCTAAATTCGCGTCTCGTTTTGGCATTCAATCTGTCTTTCTCTCCCTCTTTCTCGCTCCCGCTCTCTAACTCTCTCTTTCTCTCTCACTCCCTCGCTCTCCCGTTTATTTCCGGAACGACGTTGCGGAATGTTTGCGACACGGAGTTGCGCATTGCGGCTGGGTGTGTCCGTGTGTGGTAATGACGAGTATGTCAGGGCTCCTCCCGATAAACACACTTTAAGCCATCATATTTCTGGAGGTTGACACCACGAGGCGAGGGATGAAAAGGAGCTTGGCGTTTAAAATCGAAACTTGGAGATTTAATGACTTCTGCAGCCCTTTAGAGAACAAATGTGCTGTAGTAACTGTAGATCACTGTGCTTAGCATATTGCAATGTAGCGTATTGCAGTAGCGTAGAACACCGTAATGAAGTTGTTTTGGGGTTGCGTAGCATGCTGCAACGTATCGTAGGGTACTGAAACGTAGCTTAGCATACTGTAGTGTCGCGTTGCCTTGAAGTCGCGTAGAGCGCCCCATAAAGTTGTTTTTTTGCCGAGGTGCTTTTCCTTTTCATAGCCAAGACGCCATTCTTTTGCTACAGAATCAGAATGTGATCCCAGCGATCCACAAAAACTCGGACACCATCACCCTCATCATCCTCCTCTCACGTCAGAAGCGGCCGGATCGACCGCTTCATTGCCTCAGGGCATATCTTTCCGGCAGGGAGGGAAAAGGGGAAGACGACGAGGGAGTAGGAGGGCGAAGCCAATCAAATTTGCACCCGTTTTGCCGTCAGAACGGGGTAAGGAGCCAAGGATGAGTATCAGTGCTCTCTCTCCCGCTCCTGCCTCTCTCTCTCTCTCTCTCGCTTGTCATGAACACCAAAAATTTGAGAGTTGGATGTTCCTTTAACGCTCAACAGCTCGATTTCTTCCTCATTCTGGAGATCTCTCTTTCGCTCTCTCTCTCTCTCTCTCTCTCTCTATCGCTCTCTCTCTCTTTGTAGCTCTCTCCCTCTCTCACTCTCTCTCCCGCAACATCGTCAAAATTGGATTGGCCAAGTGGTTTTGGGAGCGGTCTGGAAGAGACATGGAGAAGCCGTGGGGTGAAACGGGTGTCTCGTTGTGGATCGGTTAGGCCGTTTCTGACTGCCGTCTATAGCTTTGGCTCTCGCTCTCTCACTCTCCCTCTCTCCCTCTCTGTTTCTTGCTTTCGTCATCTCAAGCAAATTCCTTATATACGCACTTTGCTGAAAGTGAGCTCTCGTGCAAGTGGAAAAAACCGGAAACAGCCGGAAAAACCTGGGAAAAACATCTCGCGGCTTAAGGGTATCGGTAAATATTATGAAGATGAGGCCAGCTAGCAGAGATAATTTGGTAATCACATTTTAGGTATTGATGAAAGCATAGCAGTCGAAAGGAAAACTTGGGTCAAAAATACGTACAGTTAATATTTTTCTAGTTAAAACAAGTACAAATACCTTAACCGGGGCAGCTAGCAAAGGTCATTTGGGAAAGGAACATGTGAATTAATGAAATCCATTTCAATACTTAAGCTTGAAAGAGAGTACAATACTCCATTTCGAAGCTTTAAAGGACTTGTGAAGGCCGAAACTAAGCCAACTAAAATAGCAGAGACCCTTGGACAGGCACGTGCATTAATGAAAATATAAAAAGGAGCACATTTTGAAAAAAAAGAAACTTCGTCGCTTCCGGTCGAGAAATAAGAATAAGGCCCTTGACATTTCCAGGGCTCGGCCAAAGCCGAATGCATTCTAAATATGGCCACCCAGAAAGAAACGCCGCAAGGCAAAACCGGTGAAATGGCGTAAACATTCGGAAATTCTGGAGGAGCCTTGACCGGCCGGAATTCCAGCCGGGACCCCCACGCTATAAGGTGGGAAAACAGGGATGGAAATTGGGGGGCGTTAGGCAAATGGAATAGGTAAGTGGGCGGAAAATGGGTTGTCGATGGGGGGAAATTGCCCGCCGGAAATTGGTGGCTGTTTTTGGGGTGGGCAAAAATGTCAAGTCGGCTGGGGGTACTGTGTGTTGATGTAAAGATATGATAGGAGGAAATACAGAGTGGCGAGAGCGAGGGAGAGAGAGTAAGCGAGAGAGTATGCGAGAGAAAGCGTGCGATAGTAAGCGAGAGAGAGAGAGGGAGAGGTTTTTGAGATTTTTTGAGTCACACTACCTTTCAAAGCATGCTTCAAAAAGTGGTGCTTCGTATGCAAATTACATTTCTAAGACTTATAAAATTGTTCAAAAAACGTAGACTTTTCACAATCTCAAAATATCACTGAAAAAGCCTTTCAAATCTAAGGATTTATTTTAGCGCTCAAAATTGTAGGATGACGCGAGATTCAGAGATCTGCCGCCCAAATCTACTGGGTTTTGTACCCCCCACGTCCTTGGCCCCCACCCACCGGGCCCTCATCACCTAAGTCGCAAAAATGTCAGCAAAAATTCGGGTCCTGGGCTGGATGAATGATGGAATACTGTAATTCTCCCTGCAAGGTCTACAGAGAATGACAAACACAGATAATCGCGCTGAGATCCGGAAATGCCATCGTGAGTTCACCGTGATAAACCGTGAAATCACCGTGGAGGATCAGACACTTAGTCCATGTGGGGAAATGACTTTCTGGCGGAAGTTTTTTTGCTAGTTTTTAGTTGTCTTGGTGCCTTTAATCCTCAAGGATCTCTGCAAGTTGCCGGTTTACTGTAAGCTTCGGCAAACTAAACATACAGACGAAAAAGCTATTCTGAGTAGTCAGCGTGCTCCCTGGAATCCCTAAGAATCCCGGCTAGCTCGTCGTTTTGTGCAAATTGGCTCATGCCAACCCCATTATTCCCAAAAGATCCATGCTTCCAAAAACAAGATTTTCAAGAGTTGTTTGTTGATTCGTTCTCTCAAAAATACCCTGTCATGATCCTTTTAATCCTCAAGGACCTTCGCTCAATGGCCTAATCGCCAAAAATGCCGATCCTGTCACACTAGCTTGAAATCCGCAAAAATCTCTGCCGGGTTTCCCCGTACCCGTATTACTAAATACCTCTTGGGACCCTTCAATCGCTCCTCAAAGCTTTCTGCTAGTTGTCGCTATTTGTGCTGTCACCTCCTCTTTAATATGGAAATAATTTACCGTAATGCTCCGCAACGCATTCGGACGCCTTTAGCTGCCGCCTCGTCCCTTTAGAACCTCCTAACTGCACGTAAAAGCATTTCCGCTCCAAAACTACACCCGGAAACTATGCTCTATTTAGTGGGCTGGCGTGGTGGTGGTGGTGGAGTGGTAATTATTTTCCCTCTCGCTCATTCCCAGGCAATCACGACACACACTCCCGATTCCACAATCCATGCATAATTTCGGGCCCGCGTCTTCACCCAAAAACTCGAAAAACACGGAAAGAAGACGGGAGTTATATATTCAGAAGAAGCGACGATAAGTGCTGTCTCTCTCTCTCTCTCTCTCTCTATCTC